GATAAGTATTTGAGATACTCCCTTTATATGGTCAAGATTAGTGATTTTGATTGGTCAAGATTTTAGATTTTGATTGGTCAAGATTTGCACCTTTCACTGATCAAGATTTGCAGCATAGTAATAACTATGGAAATAATAGAGGGATAGTTTCATAACTTTTACAAATAAACGGCAAACGGTTCATATGTGAATCCTTGTGATTCACATATGAACTATTTATTAATATATGAGCCCGTTTAACTTATTCACATATGAACCCGTGTGAGTAGTGAAATAGTTTATATGTGAATCACACAAGTTCATATATTAATCATAATTAATCACACAGGTTCATATGTGAATTAGTTAAATGATTCATATGTGAATCATACGAATTTATATGTGAATCTGTTAAATAGCTCATATGTGAATCACACAGGTTCACATATGCATAAATAGTTCGTATGTGAATCACACGGTTCACATAGGCACTTGTTTGTCGTCAATTTGTAAAAGTTATGAAACTATCCATCTATCTTCCGCATACCATGCGTCCAAATTATCTGGTGCTTCACAGTCAAAGCCGCAAATATGTGTGTGTGTGTGTGTGTACGCGTGCGCGCACGTGTATGTATGTGTGCGTTCACATGTATACAATAACTCTTCAACATTCATATATCAATATGATACATACTTTTATCATGAATACTTATATATGTTCAGTGTATACGACAATATTTCAATATTCATACATTAATATAATATTCATCATGAATATACATTTTCAATGTAACATTCATCATGAATATGCATATCATTCATCGTGAATATACATACTATTCATCATGAATATTTATGTATTTATGTATGATCATATCTATACAATAACTCTCTAATATTTATATTAATATGAATTTATAATAAATATTATTTTTCATCATAATATTCATCATGCATTTACATATTATTCATCATGATTACACTACGGTTTCAACGCTACATATTATATTTTTTCCTTTTTTTCTTTATTGGTTTCTCGATTGATCTGGATGAGTTCATGTTTCGTCTCGATGGATTTCACGATCCATTTCGATAAAAGTTAAAAGTGGTAGGTTATATTTTTACACAAACAAACACACAATAAATTAATCAATAGATTTTCAATTAATCTAGATTAAAAATGAAGGTGTTATGTTATGGTTTTAACAAACAACCACACACCAAAGTCAATGGATGAGTTCTTGATTGGTCTTGATTGGTGTCGATCGGTCCCAATGGGTTGTCGATCAATCTCGATGTGTTCTTGATTGGTCTCGATGGATTTTCGATCCGTCTCGATAAAAGCTGAAAGTGGTAGCCTATGGTTTTACACACACAAACAAATAATAAATCAATTGATAGGTTCTCAATGGAAAATGAAGATGCTAGGTTATGGATTAACACATATAAACACATACCAAGTCAATAAATGGATTCTCGACCTTTCTCGATGGGTTCTCGATCGTTCTTGATACGTACTTGCTTGGTCTCCATGGGTTCTTGGTTGGTCTTAATGGGTGTTGGATTAAGGTGATGAAGAACATGGTGCCTTACGACATTGAAGAAAGTGTTGGAAAAGATGATATCGAGTTACGGATTTATAGTGTCAAGTTGTTGTATACACTTGAACGTAAATAAATATTCATAATGAATATAACACATATACATCATTTCACATAAAAATCGATTAAAACGAAGAAAAAAAACTATATAAAGATAGATGTCAAATCAAAAGCACAAACTTCTCGTTTTTTTTTTGTGATTCTTTTGATTAAAGTATTAGTAAACTTTAAGATAACTTATTTTAGACAAATTGCATGAAAAGTTAATGTACTTTTAACTTAATTCCTATTTTGGATAACATACTTTTAAAAATTATATTTTGGTATATAAGATGTAAATCAAGTTAAAGTACGTTAATTTTTCATGCAATTTGTCATTTATTTTAAACTTTAAGGAGGTAAAAGTTTGTAATTAAAAAAGAAAATAAGTTGTAAAAAAAAGGTAGGCATGAGATTGAAATTAACTTACCTCTTTATCTGTAATCAACTTAATTAATAATTTTAATTAAAAACTCTACCTAATGTAAATTGCATAATCAAATAAGATGGAAGACCGAGATTAATCCCTATGTTTAAAAAAATAGTTTGCAAAAGATTTCATATATATATATATATGGGCCTAATCAAATGAGAACTAATTAGTTTGTGGTAACTGTGAGAACCAATATTAACCACAAATCAATAGATAAATTTAGGAAATTTATAATTTTGGCAATTTTGAATTAAAATATTAATGCAAGAATATTTTTGGTATTTTAAAACTTTTCTCCCTCCTCTCTTCTCTCTCCGGCCACCGTCCTTCGGTGATACTACAATGGTATCACAATGCATCATATATGTGCTTGGGTATCACATTGATGTCGTTTGTGTGGTCGATCGAAGATGTAACACAGTGGTATCACTATGCATCTTATATATGATTAGGTATCACAATGTATCTTTTGTTTAACAGAGTCAATATTTTTAGGTATCACAGTGGTATCATAGTGGTATCACCGGCGGACGGTGGCCGGAGGCCGGAGAACGGTGGCCGGAGAGAGAAGAGAGGAGAGAGGAGAGTTTTAAAATACCAAAAATATCCTTGCATTAAGATTTTAATTTAAAATTACCAAATTTATAAATTTCCTAATTTATATATTGATTTGTGGTTAATATTGGTTCTCACAGTTACCACAAACAACTCAGTTCTCTTTTGAATAGGCTCCTATATATATATATATATATATATATATATCGTCCTTGATAAGTTCTTGCTCGGTCTCAATGGGTGTTGGGTTAAGGTGATGAAGAACGTGGTGCCTTACGACGTTGAAGAAAGTGTTAAGAAAGTGATATTTAGTTACGGACTTACAGTGTCAAGTTGTTGTACACACTTGAATGTAAATAAATATTTATAATGGATATAACATATATACACCATTTCACATAAAAACGGTTAAAACGAAGAAAAAAACTATATCGAGATAAATGTTATATCGAAGAGCATGAAATTTTCTTTTTTTTTAAGTGATTCTTTTGATTAAAGTATTAGTAAACTTTAAGATAATATATTTTAAGGCAAATTGCATGAAAAAATAACGTATTTTATAATGAATATAACACATATACACTTATCACATCAGCATGATAACCGATTATAATGCTTCAACTGGTTATCTGGGTACTTAAATGTTTAAAACTTTACATCTTAGCTAGTGATGGCCAAACCGGCTTGGCCCGGCCCGTTACCGGTAAGGATCGGTTATAGGACCGAAATCTGGGACCGGTTATGGATTTGGGGTGTTTCGCGGTACCGGGACCGGAACCGATTACGGGACCGGCTATGGACCAACCCGACCCGATTTTTAAAAAATGTAACTATTTTTTTTAAATGCAGCCGTTTTTGGCTCTTTTTTTTTGTATTTTTAACTTTCTAAACACTATATATAATTGTTCTGGTTGAAAGATTTACATACCAAGTTCTCGATTCGCAAAAACGCAAAAAAACATTCATACTTATCGGTTTCTCGCTATATTTTGTAAGACAATGTAATTTTAATTATAATAAAACACATTTTTTAAAAATGTATTAAAAATATATATCATTAAAAAAAATATTTTTTAATGACCGGTACCGGCGATCCATAGCCGGTTACAATAAAGCTTGACCGGGCTCAACTTTTTCGAGCGGGACCGGGACCGGTTATGAAAAATCTTGGGACCGGTTGGATTTCTCATAACCGGTTGGGCCCGGCCCGGCCGGGCTCGGGACCGGTTATTGGCCATCACTAATCTTAGGTACCAAAATGAAAATTTTGAAAGCATGTTATCAAAAGTAGGAATCAAATTAAAATACGTTACTTTTTCATGTAATTTTTGTCAAATATTTTAAACTTTAAGAAAGTAAAAGTTGTCGATTAAAAAAGAAAATAAAAAGTAAAAAAGGTATTAACTTACTTTTTTTTTTATCTCTAATCAACTTAATTAAAAATTCTACTTAATGTAAATCGCATAATCAAATAAGATGGAAGATCAAGATTAATCCTCATGTTTAAAAATAGTTTGAAAATGAAATTTCATATATATATATAGAGAGAGAGAGAGAGTTTGTTTCAAATATAACTCATCGCATTTGTACAACCAATGCAATCTAATAAATTGAGATATTTATGGAAATGATGAGAGTTCATTTATTATGATTTGAATATTTATAGAAGATGAATATGATTCATTAATTATGATCAATACTTTATATTATGAAACAATCAAAACTTCTATAAAATCACATATTAATCAAATGAAATGGACGGTTGAAATTGAGTTGTATTGGTTGCACAAATGTCAAAAGTTATATAATAACCAACCCCCCTCTCTCTCTATATATATAGATATATATATATATATATAAATATAATATATATATATATATATATATATCTTTCATTGATCTCATTTTCATCCTTTCAATTCTCTTGTTTTCGTTATCATAATATTCGATATTTTTTATTTCAACTAATTTATAAAATGTATAGAGAAAAGTTAAAGCTTTTAAATCTTAGTTTTTAATCAATCAATAAAAAATAAAATTGATAATATAAATTGGAGCCTTTGAGACCAACTTGCGTTGCTCCCATCATATACACATTCTCTCTCTAAATAAGTCTTCACAAAATATTAAAGCAACTCACGAGTGCACCTTTATGCGTATAACACAAAGATGTCTTAATTGAAGCTCACCAAAAAAACCTCACCCACAAACCACACATTCTGCATTGTATATTACTACTATATATGTCTGTGTAGAGAGATATGATATAATAAGATCACAAAATCCAAAAACATATGCATAAATACAAACAAACGAGACCCCTCTCAATGACTCAACTCAAACTTGTTGTGGTTGAGATCCAACCTCACCATTCCCTCACACTGCAATAAGACACCAATTTCTTTGCAATCCCATTATTTATCAAGCATTGTCTCTTCTGTTTCACCGTTCTTTCATCCTGTTTGCCGGAAAACCCATTTCATCTTCGACGGAGAACACCTCTGTTCTGTTCATGCAAATAATCATCATCTTAGACGTTTAGTTGCACTTGCACCACCTGTATATATATATATATATATATATCGTGTGATAGTGTGTGTGTGTGTTACTTTGTTTTATATTGTACACAGTCTCCTCCCTTAACGGTGTTGTAATGTTAGCTGTTGTGTCACCACTAGAGAACAACACGACTAGAGATGGAAGAGATCAGGGAGCTGAGATGGTCGGGTTTTCAGTTGGTGATGATTTCCCAGACTTCTCAGATGATAATTTGTTGGAGAGTATTGATTTCGATGATCTGTTCGAGGGGATGGATGATCGGGACATGTTGCCGGATTTGGAGATGGACCCAGAACTACTCGCCGGAGAATTCTCTCTTAGTGGCGGAGAAGCCGATTCATCTGAGTTCAATAACAACAGTGTGACGTCATTCTCCGGCGAACAGAAACTAGAAGATCTGATATCAAGAAAAGAAGAAGAAGTGAGCAAGAGAGATGAAAGAAACGAAGCTGTGGCCACAAATCCAGCTCGAAAAGAATCCGATAGAGGACGCAAATCTTCTTCAGATAAATCCAAAAATTCTTCTCAAGGGAAGAGGAAAGTGAAGGTAAACAATTAAGCTTTCAAAACAATCACGGTTAGGGTTACCACCTGAATTCAAAATTAACTACCATTAAATTAGGGTGTGCTTTTTTTTTAATCTTTAAATAAGCCTTATATATACATATACATATATATATATATATGAACTCAATGCTATCTTGGTAAAATTAGGGTTTCTATTAGACAATAATTAGCTGTACTTTATGCATAGATGATTCCATTTTTATTTAGAAGTCACGAAAAACCAGCAAACCGAATGAAAACTAGTATCTGTATGAGTTCACGGGTTGCTAACTTTCACGGGTATCATCTGAAGGAAATATCTGCAGCCATTCTTGATGCTAAATATAGATCCATTCACGGATCCCAGTCAGCAGACTGAATACATATCTGCAAAAATCAATACTATTACTCATTTAATTCAACCATAAGTTTGCTCATTCGGTGTTGTCCGATTCTGTCTGTATGTAATTATGAACGACTCGTTAAACAGTCGTATTATAAATTTACAGGAAGCCTTACAACTTTATCCTACAGATATGAAACATAAAGTTTTCTTCAACTAACATAATACAAATGTCATATATATATATATATATATATATATATGTATATATGTATATATGGTTGGTGCAGGTGGACTGGACGCCGGAGCTACATCGGAGATTCGTGCAAGCAGTGGAACAGTTGGGCGTGGATAAAGCAGTCCCGTCAAGAATTCTTGAGATTATGGGTATTGGTTGTCTCACTCGCCATAACATTGCTAGCCATCTTCAGGTATATATAATTTATTATCATATTTAATTTAGTTATTATTAATTATATGATGTACAAATCGTTTAAACTGAATTGCTACATGTTTATATCGTTCTTATTTCCTGCTCTACAAAACCAAAATTATTAACATATGTAGTTTGATAAAAGTATAAGTTATTGTTATATATAATTAGTTTTTATATATATATATATATATATATATATATTATATTGATATCTTTCTTATTTCCTGGTGTAGGAAACCAAAATTATTTACATCTATAGTTTGATAATATAATTTATTTTTATATTTAAATTAATTATCGTATATTGAATCGAAATAGATGCTTATTTTCTGGTCTAGTAAACCAAAATTATTTAGTTTGATAAAATATAGTTGAATATATATATATATATATATATATATATATAAGGATTTCGAAAGAACTAATTAGTTTGTGATAACTATAAGATCCAATCTAACCACAAACTAATGGATAAATTAGGGAACTAATATTTTTGATAATTTGACTTAAAAGTATAATTAAATGACATTTTAGGTATTTTAAATTTTTTATCTCTCTCCTACTTGCTGTCTCGAACGAACACCATGTGATATCCAAAATATACCACGATACATAATATGATACCCAAAACACAACAAGTAAACTTTGAGACCACTGTGATACCTACGACATATACGTATGTATGTTGTACGGTGTGCAGGACGTCTGTTGTATATGTGTAGTATGTGTATTGCAATGTGTATGTGTGCAGTGTGTGTATGTGTGTTGCAGGTCTGGAGGTTGAGATGGAGATGACCACAGGAGTGGAGGGTTTATCCAGGTGGAGGGTGATCGATGAGCGTGTTTGAGGGGGGATCGAGGGGAGTGTCGATGGAGAGGGTGGTCAGTGGCGGGGATAGGGGAAAGGAGATAGGTAGTGAGGGGGTCATAGAGACAAAAATGGGGTTAGCTATCAGGACTACAACTACTCACAGGTGGATGTTTAGCTGTCGATAATCGGAGACGGCGTCGTGGTCAAACAAAATGACCAGAGGAGGTCATCGGAGTGGTGGTGGGTGCCGGAGAAGGCCAACAGATTTGGTCCCTGTGTGTATATGCATATATTAAAATAATTAAAGTAAATTGAGTAATTAACACAATTTATTAACTTACCATTTGTTTTATTTTAGTAAATAACATTAATTATTTAAAATGAGTGGCTCATGTTGGAACTCACAGTTATCACAAACTATCTAGTTCTCATTTGATATATATATATATATATATAGGTATATATATTATCAAATCATATAATTTAATTATCTTTTAACATCTTTTCGCATCATATTCTGCAAAAAATTTAACATTTCTTTGTATATCTTCTCTTCTGAGCATTAAGCCATTAACGTTCAACATTGTCTTAATAGGGCTAAATAGTCATGTCATAGATATTCTTTTACCAAATACACGAAAGCGTTGGACAAAAATGATTGCAGTCATCGTTTGCTGAACTGCAAGCTTAATGCTTTCCTATAAATGATATAAAGAATCCACTAAAAGAAAATCATATAAGAATCGCTTTATACAAATATTTACTTTACTTAGGTTAATTAAAAATTGTGAAATATGAAATTAATTCCAAAATCGAATAGGGTTAAAATCCTTCACATGCATGCTTAATCATTAAGCAAAACTCTTTCACAAAGAAATAGAACACTGCAGACATATGGTCTTGATAGAAAGTATGTGTACCCTAACAAGACAACTTTATTGATCACAAACAAACAACGACAAAGATGTGGCATTCAATGTTTTGTTTGTGTCCTTTTGGCTTTACCACATTCGTAGAACATTTCTTCAGTCGATCAGTTTCATCATTAGAACCATTATACTTCTTTTATTTACAGTAAAAAAAACATGGGATATCAGTTAAAAGTAACTTTATTTTTAGGATGGCTTAATACAAAAATGCTAGCTTAATATGACTTAAAAGCATTTGTTAAGTTGTATATTCAGATTAATAGATTTGAGTGGTAAAACTAAAATAAGAATGTTACAAGATTTCATTATGGATGATAAGTTTATGGAGATGTGGAATTTGTTGCAGAAATATAGGTCACATCGAAAACATCTATTGGCAAGAGAAGCCGAGGCGGCAAGTTGGAGTCAGCGGCGGCAAATGTATGGTGGTAACACGACGATCGGAGGAGGAGGAGGCGGCAGTGGCGGAGGCGGGGGCAAGAGGGATATGGGACCTTGGGTTGCACCACCAACCATGGGCTTCCCTCCAATGACACCATTGCCTCATTATAGACCCCTGCATGTTTGGGGTCACCCATCCATGGATCGACCACTGATGCCTGTATGGCCAAAACATATCACCTCATTGCCACCAACACCACCACCGCCACATGTTTGGCCACCTTCTCCATCTCCTCCACCACCAACTTGGCACCCTCACCACCAACACCAAAGAGTGAGTCTCCCTTCCTCATCACTACAATAAATTTGGGTTTATAGGACGTCAAAAAAATTTGAGTGTCTTAATAGACCATTTTATAGGACTTAACTTACAGGACTATAAAATGAAGTGTTTTATCTAAAAGCGTTGTAATAAATTTATAAGACATTTTTGGACGTTTTAACAAGTTTTTTATGACAATTTTAAGCGTTTTAACAAGTTTTTTAAGACACTTTTGGACGTCTTAACAAATTTTTTAGAACACTTTTAGTATAAAGCATCTTATTAGCAAATTTTGCAGGACATTATTTCAAAGAGGGTCATATAAAAAATAAACCAGGACCAAAAAAATGAAGTATCATATCTAAAAGCGTTATAATAAGTTTATATGACACTCTTTAGACGTCTTACCAAGTTTTTTATGACACTTTTGATCGATTTAACAAAAAATTTAAGACAATTTTAATACAAAGCGTCGCATTAGCAATTTTATAGAACAATATTTGAAAAAGTGTTCTATAAAAACAAATGTCATATAAAAAGATGGTTTTATATGACACTCATTCAAAAGTGTCCTATAAAATAAAATTGCTAATGTGACGTTTTATATCAAAAATAAAATCCTAGAACCCTTGTTAATTAAGACGTCTAAAAGTATCATATAAACTTATTACAACACATTTAGATATAAATTTTAACTTTTTATCCTATAAATTAAGTCTTATAAAATAGTCTATTAAAATACTTAGAAATCAGTGTTATCCTATGAACCCAGTTTTATCTCTACTGTCTGTTTGTGTGTCTATAGATGTATTTATTTGTCCATCCATCCTCTAAGATGTGGTTTCCTTTGTGCAGGCTCCATACTTCCCACAAGTTCTACCACAAACGGTATGCTCATGCATATTGTCATTCTCTTTGTTATATAAATTACGTAATTAACGGTTACTCCGGACTATCTGGAAAGCAGATGGTCGTCCTAAGATTAGTCGGCTCGCATAGCAGATTGGATATCCAGGTTAATAAAAAAAATTTACATAATTTGCTTTTTAATTTGCTTTTTATGTTTTAAATTTTCAGAGATTTCCAACCCCGCATGTACCGGTTCCGGGGATCCCGCCACCCCATGCCATGTACAAAATAGACTCCTGCGTCGGTGTGCCCACTCCTCCCATCGGACAATCGTGCCCACAACCACCTAGGGACCTTCATCCCGTAAGTATCAATATCACATTTAACCTTATTTGACACTTACAAAAGCTAAATAGATAATTGTAGGTGCGCATATGATCATATATGTACGTAATAGGCAAAGAATCGTGTAATAAGGAGAGTTAAGATGAGAAGCGTCTTGATCACCTTTAATCTGAAACTCACCCATGAATCGCGCTTGATACAAGGATTAATCTGGTGCATCTCATCTTAATGTGCATCCAAGAATGGAGATCCATTCTCACACTTCTTACCTTAACTCTTTTTCTTATTGAAACTCAACTCATATGAAATAAATACATACATATACACATGAACATATATGCACAAAAATTGAAGTGAGGTTGAAAAGTGAACCAAATATATATGCAATAAATAAAAGAAGTCACGACAACAAATTTAAATTTATAAGACACCATTAATTTCAAAGCGTTCTATTAGACTGGTTTACAGGACTTAAGTTATAGGACCAAAAAATAAATGGTCTTATTTAAAGACGTTATAATAAGTTTATAGGACGTTTTTTAGTGTCTTAATAAGTTTTTTAGGACATTTTTAATATGAAGCATCGCATTACCTATTTTATATGATACTATTTGAAAAAGTGTCTCATTAAGACAAGTGTCATATAAAAATATAAAAAGATAGGACACTTTTAAAAAGTGTCCTATAAAATAGCGAATGAGATTATTTGTATCAGAAAAAGGTCCTAAAAAACTTGTTAAAACGTTCAAAAATGTTCTATAAATTTACTGCAACGCCTTTAGATATGACCATTTATGTTTTGATCCTATAAATTGAGTCTTATAAAGCAATATTCTAATACAACGACACTTTGGAATTGATGAGGTACTATAAACTCGGGTGAGTGGACATGAGTTAACAAACCTTAACTAGGACCACAAGTAGCCATTACATTACAAGACCTTAGAAGTTGATTGTAGTACAATAGAAGTTGATTGTAGTACAAGTGTCCATTAAAAAAGTTGATTGTACTAAAAAGCTGATTCATAATTCTATGCAAAAGCAACATGCATGCATGATGCATATATGCTAATTGTCGTTCTGATTTGCGGAACAGTCAAAGGAGAGCATCGATGCAGCGATCGGAGACATATTATCGAAACCATGGCAGCCTCTTCCGCTCGGACTAAAACCACCGGCCCTTGATAGTGTAATGGTGGAACTACAAAGACAAGGGATTCAAAAGATACCACCAACTTGCGTCTAAAAGCTGTATAGTTCAGTTGCTTGTGGTGGTGGCTTCTGTGCAATTTTCAATTCAGAGCAGAAGCTCCCCCGGCCCCTTCATCAATTCGACGACGTTTCCATGCACTTAAATGTGTACATGACACCTAATATGCGATGCGACTTCTTGTTTTCGGTTATCGTTTCTTCTTGTGTCTTATCAAGAATTTTAACCTGAGCATTGTTCTTGGTTCTTTTGCATGCACACAAGAACTGTTGATGTATAAGCCAAAATGGATATCAATAAACCTATATATAATTTTCTCTTACAACTAATGTTCACTCCCTCTAAGTACTTGCATACATAGTAAAATCGGGTTTATAGAATACTCCCAATTTCTAAGCGTCCTAATAAAACTTTTTATAAGACCAAAAAAATAAAACGTCATTGTAATAAGTTTATATGACATTTTTTTGACGTTGTAAATAAGTTTTTTATGACACTTTTAATATAAAACGTCTCATTAGCAACTTTGTAGGACATTATTTGAAAAAATGTCCTATAAAAACAAATGTCCTATAAAAATTGAGTTTATAGGACATTTTCTCAAAAATGTCCTATAAACTTGCTAATGCGACACTTTGTATTAAAAATATCCTAAAAAACTTGTTAAGACGTCCGAAAACATCATATAAACTTATTACAATACATTTAGATAGGACGCTTTATATTTTTTGTCCTATAAAATAAGTCTTATAAAGAGGTCTATTAGCATGTTTAGAAATTGGGAATGTCCTATAAACCTAATTTTGTTATAATGGTATGAGAAGAATAGTCATTCAATTCAAAGTGCCACAAATCTTATAATCAGAGAATGGTTATAGTTGTAGAGAGATCTCACCAGGAATTCACAGTAAAGCTCAAGGTATTCACTCAATACAACATTAAAAGTTCAATTCCCAAAGCGTACAAATAAGGTAGGTATTCATAGGTGCAAAAGATTTTGTCAAAGTATTAGCCAATGAGCATTGGACATGTGTAAAGGTCGATAACCGCTTTTATGGGACAATGTAATATCTCATACTTATTACACTGGGCTAAAAGTACATTGAACAACTAATTTATTTCATAACAAAATGATCACAGTTGTAGATCCAGATAATCTCTCAACCTGTCTCTAGAACCTGCCACGAAATAACAAACATGGCTGAGCAATAACTCAATGAACAGATCAATAATATTAACAATAAGCAATATAGGATTAGAACAAATTATTCCTAGAGGCATAACAATAGGGTTCACGTAATAACCCGTTTCTCTGTTTTGTGTTATTCAAGTTCACATAAATCATCCGAATACACTAAACTCGTTGTTCCTTAAGGATGTATGGTCCTATTGATACAAGCAAGGACTAGCAGTGTGGGCACGACACCCACTAGACCTCAATTACTATTAAATAGTCCTAGTTTTATTTTGTTCTAAGGATATCCATCCGTCCCCATGGCCGGGTCAGGGCCAACGCACTCTCTACGCATATACGAGCACCCCATAGTGATTATAGCTACCATAGAAACATACAAGGTCGGTGCCCCCCACATACTGTCTAGGTAAAGAATTACAACTAATCTGGTCTAACCGAATTATAAAAATAGATCAATAATCAATGAAAAAGTGAATATGTCTTGACTTCATCTAATTGTGCCATCTTTAATTTGATCATATCTCGGTCCTTGTATTGAGTCAACAAATCATTTGCATCACATTCCATTTGCCCCTCAACATACAGAGTAAAACTCAAGAACTTGGCCAATGGTCCCTATTAGGGGCAACAGACTTCGGAACACTCTTATGTCGTTCTCAATTAATGGGACACTAAATGGAATTCAGGAAACAAATGAAACGAGGAATGACCCATAACAATAGGTGACGTCTGTGTCAAGTTAATAAGAGATCGACACTTTTTTTATGGTAGAGGTAATCAATACACGATGCTCGTATACCTTGTTTCCAAGCCTTGCTAGCCGAATTTCCTATCACAAGTAATGTACATTTAGAATTATACCGTGATTACTTATAAATATTTATTCTATTTGTACCTTTCTTTTACCTTAATTAATATTTATTTGCATTCTAATAAACATATAATTCATTCTTATAGTTGGTTAGGGTATGATATGGGTTAACAAACAAACAAAACATGGCATAGGGAAATTTTATCCCAACACTTTTCTGCTTTTGTCCATCTCTGGTTTTAACATATCCCGCATACTTAGGAGTTGAATTTTGTGTTCTTGTATAAACGAAAGTTGTAGATATATCTCTTAGGATTCCAATATCACTTGATTGATGTCATTTTAAGTTACGAACGATTTTATACTAATGTCACACTGATGAGTACACCGAGACCAGCTTCTATAATTTAGTATTTAAACACACTTAATGTCACAATTAGGTTTCAGACTCTTTATAACAGTTCTAGTACACAAACTGAGATTTTCAGCAGTGTATGGTACACGTCATCTGGATCACGCTTCAATTTACACACATTCGTAAACCACCTGTAACTTTCTATCTCTTTCAACAACACCAAATTCCACTATTTTAAGACACATATTAATTAAATAACTTTTAATATATCTTGTGTCATATTCATGAATTTCTAAACATTTAAATAATTAAATAATAATAAAAAATAGCTTCAAACTTTTTATTTGATAAGCAATAATTGGCCAAATAATATATATTATTATTATTATTATTATTATTATTATTATTATTATTATTATAAAAAGATAAATCACTCTAATTGGTTCTTCTTGTGAATCACTCTTTTGATTCATTTATTTGAATTTTTTGGAATTTATCATATTTTTGGATTTTTGTGAATATTATTTCATATGCTTCTGTCTTCTCTAGTTGTTACATCCCTTTCAAGATGTTGCCTCATTTTACATATAATTTACAAGCTTCAATTCATTTCCTTTTGAGAAATTTATTTTTTGTAATTTAACGTTGCAAAAGACAACAATAAATGTGTCCCCCCTAACTTTTCGATTTCAATTATTTTTGTCGGAAAAGTTCAAAAAAAAAAAAAAAAAACCAGTGAACTTCTTTATTTTTAATGATTAAGTTTTTGAACTATTTTTTTAAAAGAAAAACCACTAGACTTTCATATTTTAAATGATTAAGACCCTGATTTTTTAAAAAAAAAATTAAATAAACCATTGAATTTTTACTAGTTGGTTGATGTAACTTTTTTTTGCTTAAAAGGATGGAGTTAACCAATTTTTAAAAGTGGAACAGTTTATTTATTAAAAAATGTTCAGGGAATTAATTAACTAAAATAAAAAAGTTTAATGGTTTTTTTTTAAAAAAAAGAAAGTTTAATGGTTTTTTCATTTAAAAAACTGGTTCAGGAACTTAATCATTTAAAATGAAAAAATTTAACGATTTTTTATTCAAAAAATAATTTAGAGATTAAATCTTTCAAAATAGAAAAATTTGTTATTTTTTTTTTAAATTTTCCCTATTTTTATTTATAAAATTGCAACTTTTTTTATCTTTTTAAACTACCATCGAAATATTAGATTGAATTATGGATTTGTTCTTTATATTTTACTGTTTGTATTATGGAATTGATTGTGATGATATATAATTTTCACAATAGGATATTTTTGATTACCATTAAAATAATTCTTTTAGTTTAGTTAACTTAAAGGTATTTTGGTTTTTTCGTCTTTTTTTATTCATGTACCTGGTAAAACATATATGAATACATCTGAACGTATATGAACACACCTGAACGTATATGAACACTAGTTGTAGTTTATGGCAGATCAAACATCACAAGTAGCTGATGGAGCCGAATAGTTATTAGAATTGGATTGCATAACAAGTTAAGTTGACGATAAACTCATTCCATTTGAACATATGAATTGGGCTCGTAGTAATAATTAAAGAAAAAACTGCCAACACAATATAAACTATAAAAACACAAAAACGTCATAATCAACATAATTTCGATTAAAAATTCATATGAACACACACAGTTCATTAGATGTCTTGATTCATGTCCCTACTAGAACATATATGAACACAACTGAACGTATATGAACACTAGTTGCAGTCTATGGCAGGTCAAGCATCACAAGCAGTTGATGGAGCCGAATGGTTATCATAATTGGATTGCATAACAAATTAAGTTGACGATGAACTCATTCCGTTTGAACATATGAATTGGGCTCATAGTAGTAATTAAAAAAAAAGCTACCAACACAATATCAACATAATTTCGATTAAAACAAATACAATAACATATTAATCAATTACCAATACAAACGCTTTGATTATTGTCTTCACTTCTGGAACTCGAAGTATGATTGTCATCGTGAACCATTTTAACGTTCCCATTGTTGTCGAGTTATATTCCAATGGATTTATCCATATTAATTTGAATGATATCGAAAACTTTACTATCGGGTCTCCTTTAACAATCACAAATTCAATAACATTATAGATAGATAAATCAATATTATAGAGAAACAAGATCAATGGATTTTTTGATTTTGTAACTCCCAATTAATGATATGGGAGTTACATACAAACTAAAAATTACATATTTACCTTTGTTATTAAATTATGAGATGAATATGAACCTAGATAAAAGATTAATTTTCATTGGTTGAGCTTGGTTAACAAAGTTAATACAATAATCTTGGTTAATATTTGAACCAAACTCTCTCTCTCTCTCTCTCTCTCTCTATATATATATATATATTATGTTCAAATAAGAAACATAAAAAGGTTTGAGAATGAAAAAAGCAATCTCAACTATTAGTTTAAAATTTTGATTTTCAAGACCTTTTCATTAATTAAGATAACTATGGAACTAAAATCAATTATCCTGATTTATCTTCTATTTATTATGTAACATTTTCTGAATATTGATATAATCATCGATTTCTTTATCCAATTTTCTATCTTAAAAGTCATTGACGATTTTACAATCTACAAATCGAATTAAATCTCAATTGCTTAAATATGATATGTAAACACGAGCATCAACAATGAAAATTAGGTGAATATTGCTTCATATCTGAACATATGAATCTAAACATATATTCACATGTGAATTTTTATCATAATTCATTCTTGAATCAATTTTACAACTTATAACCGAGATTCTGAATCAATTTAAAATTCATATGTGAATTCTAACATAAATTCACATGCAAATTCTAAAATAGATTCATATCTTAATCATATATTGTAAAAGGATCAATTTACATGTTACAACCACTACTAGAAAACAAGGTA